TTATTCCGACATGCAGAAACTTACTCTTTTGAATAGCGTTGGGCATTATGGTTAGACTTAAATATCACAAAAGAAGAAGAGAAAGAAGAGAAGAAAAATGATAAAAGTACCAGGTAAATCTCTGTCTCCATGGAAACACAACCAAACATTTAAAGTAGCATTCTGTCAGACAGAGAAGAGCTCATATTTTCTGTTTGGTCTCAGTAAAAGGCTTCCTCCGTCAACCTTAGAAATCACTTCCATGAGGTATTCAAATAGCTGTGGTGTACTCAAATGCATGACTTTTCCATGTTTCTCCATACTTAGTTGTGTAAGGATTTGTCCTGCCACCAAGGCATAACAATTATAACATGAAGCACATGGGACATGAAAGTACATGAAATATGAAAAATAACAGCTATTTGGTCCAGTCACAAAACCTGTTGGTGTGGAAGGGAATATGCTATCAGTAATACATATGTGGAGAGGCTGGTGCAAACCCCATTAAAGCCCATTGATTGACCTTAACGTAGGCTCATACTCCAGTCAGGAATGGTCAGTGACTTCCCCTTCCTGAGGGTGAATCTTGGCAACATTTTTAGCAGAAGATACATTTCTTTTGATGGAGTATCAGTGTATAACGTGTATAAGACGGGACAGCCTACTCGATGTGCTGTTCACAACAACCATCTTTTTGTTGCTTTTTGAGTGATTTGATTCTTAAGAAAGAAGGAAGGATGGTTAAGTCTGCCTGCGCACAGATGAAGCTGTGTTTAATTAGGAAGTTGCTGGTTTCACTTTAAGTCCGCCAGCTCCACCTAGTGTAGAGATTTTACACCTGAGTGAAGAAACTCCTTTCTTCATGGTCTGATGTACAGTTGCCATTATGGAAAGGACTTTGAAGCATGCAGTTTAATTTGTGACATAGAACCATAGAATGTATGACAGCGTGAATGTAGGTGCTTCTTCCATCTGCACCACTGCCACGGGTGACAGAGCCTGCGCCACAGCAGGTCCCTCTGGCCTTTGATGGGAGTTAGGCTTGGTCCAAGACGTGTAACATCAAAACAGAAAACTTAATGGTATTACCCAAATTACCAGACCACAGGGAAACAAATTGCTCCTCTCTGTTGCATAGTTTTAACACTAACATCAGAGGAAGCAAGTAATTTTATTCTCTCTCTGTGAAGGAAAAGTCAATTATTTTTATGTGTATTACAGGGTTTTCCAGGATTTGATGGTCCACCAGGTGTCTATGGTCCTCGGGGAGGCAAGGTACTGCTTTATTCTCATTTGCCAGGAGCAATAAAGCAAATGTGATTTTGCTTGCTTTTCTGTCATGTAATAACAATTGTGTTTCTCATCATTGTAGAACCAGTTATGTGGTTTGTTAACTTGAAATCTCAGAGATTTCTGAAAGGTCATGTCAGTTTGTTTCTTTGGGTTTCCTGGGCATTTTAAAAGGAATTCTCTAGAATAATGTGCTTAGATGTGATACTTCAGTTTCTGTTAACAGGGGGAGCCAGGCGACATTGGTCTTCCAGGACCAGATTCCTATCTTCCTTCCCACATCCCAAGGAAAGGTACATCTTCTTTGCTTAGATTGCTTATCTTAGCTGCATTTTACTACCTTATACATAGATTAAAAGCATGAAATTCTGAGGATTTGACTCCTTAAAAGACTGGTTTGCTGAACTGTTCCAGAAGGTATAATTGCCTTCCAAGAGAGTGCTCTGATCACTGCTCTGCAGGCAGGTGGCTTCTTTGTCCTGTTGAAGCTGGATTGCTGATCAAAAGGCATCCATGCATTCCTATGTCCAGAAAGAAGAAACAAGCAAAAAAGCCTGTGACTGTTGTCCAGTGAAAGGAAGAATGGGAGAGTCTGTCTTCTGTATCCTGTTTCAGAGACTCTGGATAAAGTGCAGCAATGGCAGTACAGCAGAGACCATTCTTATAGTCTAGTATTTAGAAATGAAAAAAAAAAAGAAAACCCAAAAAAACGAACCAAACCAAAAATCAACATTAAAAACAATAGAATAGAAGAGGAATAGAAGAGGATTTTTTTTCCAACAAATTGATTTTGTGACCTTTCCACTAAATTTGTAGCACCCACTGTCAGATGTCCCACAAAGTCATGGCTTGCCAGACTAGAAACACATACAAGGTGATACCAGTTTGCCAAGATGAAAACTATTTCAGGGAAGGTGCCAGCAAACAACGAAGATGGTCATAGACCATTGTCCCAGCCTTTGTCCTTATACCACTGAGTTTTCTGATCTTGTTGAAGAAAGCCAGAGAGCCTAACAATGAGTGGTTCCCTTTCTCCCAGTGAATGGGAGCAAGAGGCCCAAAATATTGTTCAAATCAAACACCCTGCCAGGCTTTTAGGATCAGGAAAGACTGTGTAGGGAGAGGAGGAAACAGGTAAAGGGGCTGACACACCATATGTCCTCTAGTGTCATTGACCTATGACAAGAGCATGATACCTCCCTACAGGCAATAGCCAGGCCCAGGCAGATGCTTTATCTCCTGGGGAACAGAGGAAAGCCCAAAGCTCACATATCATAGAGAGCTGGTCTTCTGTGCTTCTCAGGAGCAATTTAGCTCTAGCAGCATATTAGTAAGAGCTGAGAGATGTTCTTCTTCCTGTCACAGGCCATGTTCAGCTCCCAGATATATTTGGGCTTTACAAAAATCTCTCAAATTCATTTCTTTATTCAGCCTAGGTAGCATGAGGTAGCACGTTTTTGCATTTCTGAAACTATCTTTAAGAAACAAGTGCAAACTCTAATATTCTAAAGTCCTTGAATTTCCTAATCTTTACTTTTTAAGAACTGAGTAATTTGCAGTGTGACACAAGTTGGCATTTATGGGTCACAAACAGCATCACACTAACATGTGGTTTGTGGAACGGGGATGTCTTTCAGGTGTAAGAGGTGACCCAGGCTTTCCAGGTGTTTCTGGACTACAGGGAGACCCAGGAGAAGAGGGAGATCATGGACCTCCTGGTCTTCCTGGATTTTCTGATGGTAATATCCTATCAACAGATGTTCCAACAGCTTAACTTTATAGCGAGTTTCAACTGATACATGGTCAGGGATGTGGGGAATTTATGTGTGGACTGTGGATCATGCAGTGCAGAGTGGTAGATAACTAACTGCTGGGACAAAAAAACAGAGAAGCATTTTCCTCCAGCCTTGATGGAGCTTTGACAAAACAACTGGAGATTATGATGGAAGCTTGCTTCAGTAACTCCTGTAGATTTGCTCAAGTGAGAAGCGCAGTTACCATTTTTACTCTATGCTAAATATCTCCATTTTTCCTTGCATGCTAGATGCAGTTGCATGAACTTTCCCTTCTGCTCCATTACAGCTCCTTGAGCACTGTTGTTAAGAAACTGTTTTGAACTTCTTCCCTGTTTCTGTTCCAGCGGATGGGGATAAGCCAGGCTTACCTGGAGAAATGGGACCGAAAGGTGAAAAAGGTGAATCAGGATCTCCTGCTTATCAGGCAGGCCCGCCCGGCTTTCCGGGTAAACATGGCACACCAGGACTCCGTGGTCCACCTGGTCCTGCTGGAGCCCCTGGTAAGTGCATAAAGAGAGATGACAAGAACTCACAGGAACATCTGTGCTTATTTTAAAGACAGTGGTTGGCAAGGCAAAGTGAGAAAGTAGATGGATGAAATGAAATGAAATGAAATGAAATGAAATGAAATGAAATGAAATGAAATGAAAAATGAAATGTTTGGCCGGAAGGACGCACAGGGAAGAGGTGTTGTGTGCTCTTCAATGAAGGAAAGGTTTCCATCAGTTTTAGACATTCCTGGTGAAATTTGAAAGAAAAGGTCTGTTTGGGGCTGGGGGTGAGATATGAGTGTCAAGGAGTGTCTGAGAGAGCTGAATTTCTTATTTATCCTGGAGAAAAGAAAGCTAAGGGGAATCTTACTGCTACTTTCCCCTACCTCTCAGGAGGTCATAGGGAAAATGAAACCAAATGCTTCACTAAGGAACACAGCAACAGGGCAAGGAGCAATGGTGACGAGCTGCAACAAAGGAAGTTCTGCTTAGGAAAACCTTTTTCACCATGAGAGTGGTCAGACACTGAACAGGTTGCTCAGAGAGACTGTAGACTCTCCATCTTAGGAGATACTCAGTACTTAGCTGGACAGGGTCCTGAGCAACTTGCTGCAACTTTGAGGCTGACCCTGCTTTGAGCAGAGAGTTGGACCAGGTGACCTCCAGAGGCTGCTTCTGACTGAGATTGTGGTGTGAAAAGCACAACACTGCAGTGCAAGAGCAGGAGCAGAGAAAATGATGTGCAAGAGGTGATCCAGTGCAGGCAGCCTGTGGTACTGCAAAGTTAGTTGTGCTGAGAGAAGCTCAAGGAATTCAAGGTGAGAAAGAGCAAAGAATGGCAAGGATCATCTGCCACTGCAGATGGAAGTAGCTAAGAAAGTGTGTGGGGAGCTGTGAGAAGAGGTAGAGAGGAAGAGAGTAAGGGGTAGATAATAACAGGCTGGGTTAGACAGTAAACTCCATTAGGGAGAACAGAAAAGGGCAGATGCAGTACAGCTCAAAGGAACAGGAAGGAAAGGGAATAAAAGTAAATCTACAGTAGATCAATTGCTATTTTTATTTGATTTCTAGGTCCTCTCTTTGGATTAAAAGGACAGGAGGGGACGCCAGGTAGATTTGGCGTACAAGGTTTCCCTGGGCCAAGAGGACAAAAAGGACCTAAAGGTAAGTTACAACAAATAACTCAACAGATGTTATGATAACAGGTAACAGATGCTGCTGTAAGCAGCACTATGTAAAGCTCCTGTTTTATTCAGTCTGAGTTTATAGAGCTATGACATGCTTGTGGACTGGTGAATTCGATCTGGGGCTAACGCAAGGAAGCATTATGTTAGCTTCTTGTAACAAAAAAAAAAAAAGAGGAAGTATTTCTCTCAAGTATTTCAGAAACTACTCAAGTATTCTCAAGTCTAGATATAAAATGGGTATAGCTGAACATCCATTTCATTCTTTCTTCTCTTTTCAATCCTTTCCTTAGGTGAAGAAGGAGATTGCAGTACATGCCTTTTGGATGAGGAAAGGAGAAGGGGCTCTACTGGTCCCCCTGGCCCTCCTGGCTTTCCAGGAACTCCTGGCCAGCCTGGGAGGAAAGGAGAACCTGGTGATCAAGGACCACACGGTATTCCTGGCTACCCTGGAGCAAAAGTGAGATAATTACCACTTTATTGCATTGCTTTAAATGCCTACTAGAAAACAAAAAAACAAACAAAAACTCAAAAAAATAAATAAAATAAAAAAAACACACCAAAAAACAATCCAAAAACACACAAGAAAAAAACCCAGGCTATTCTCCATGGAAAAATGCTAACAAGTATGATTTCTTTCTTTCCATGCCACTTCAATTGCTTTCAGATTGCTATCTACAAAATACTGAAAGCAAAGAATTGCTAGGATGGAAGTCAAAATATGCAGTTTTAGGAAAAGTGAAAGATTTCCACATAAACTAAGGTCCACTTCCCATTTAAACTATGCTACTGTACTACTGAGTAAGACCTGACCATCTGGAAGGGTAATAATTTAGGCTGAGAAAGTTGGGGCTGCTCAGCCTGGAGAAGAGAAGGCTGCGTGGAGACCTCAGAGCAGCCTTCCAGTATCTGAAGGGGGCCTATAGGAATGCTGGAGAGGGACTCTTCATTAGGGACTGTAGTAACAGGACAAGGGGTAACAGCTTAAAACTTAAACAGGGGAAGTTTAGATTGGATCTAAGGAGGAAATTCTTTCCTGTGAGGGTGGTGAGGCACTGGAATGGGTTGCCCAGGGAGGTTGTGAATGCTCCATCCCTGACAGTGTTCAAGGCCAGGTTGGACGAGGCCTTGGGTGATATGATTTAGTGTGAGGTGTCCCTGCCCATTGCAGGGGGGGTGGAACTAGATAATCTTAAGGTCCTTTCCAACCCTAACTATTCTATGATTCTATGATTCTAATTCCAGTAGTAACTTATGGTTGTTAATAAGACACTATATCAAAATGATGAAATGCAAGGTTCTTGTTTACAATACATTAAGTCTTCCTAAAAAACAGTATTCAATAACCCCAAGAAAAGAGCTTTGCTTATAATCATTTGTTACTTACACTGAGAGGTGCTGTACTGTGTGGTATGCCAATTGCATTGTGGTTCCTTGCCGTCAGAACTGACTTCAGGAAATCACATCTCTCAAGGTTTTAGAATAAAATTCTTGTAAATCTGACCCAAAACTGATTTTGTTTATACAAAGATGTCAGAGCAAACATAATGTTTTCATTTAGTGCTTTAGGCTCTTCTGAACATCTAAAGATGATGCTACTTTTCAGCCCTATAATAGTGTTGTGAATCACAATCCACTGCCAGCTATGAAGCTGTCCTCTTTTGTAGTGGTGGGCAGGGAGAATTGCAGGTCAATATAACAGTGTTGTTTCCATGATGCCAAAGAGTTGCTTGCAGCATTTTCTTTAATGGTTAAAACTGAGTAATTTACTGTAGAATCATAGAATCAACCAGGTTGGAAAAGACCTCTAAGATCATCAGGTCCAACTGCTATGCAGAGCTGCTCAGCCCACCACTAAACCATGTCACTGAGGGCAAACTCATCTCCCCTCATGGCTGCCCCTCATGATCTCCACTCACAGGAACGCCTCATCTACCCCCCACCCGCCATAGTGGCCTACTCTGTATAGCTGCCAACCCTACCCCTCACAGCTATCCTTCATCTCCCCTCACGCTCTCCCCTCATGGCCCACAGCCACCCCTGCTCTCCCCTCATGATCTCCCCTCAGCCCTGAAGGCCATCCCTCCTGCACCCTCACACCTCCCCCTCACGCCTGCCCCTCACAAGCTCCCCTCATGCCTGCCCCTCACAAGCTGCCCTCACACCTGCTCCTCACGCCTGCCCCTCACAAGCTCTCCTCATGTCTGCCCCTCTTGAGGTCCCCTGACACCTGCCCCTCTCAAGCTCCCTTCATGACTGCCCCTCTCAACCTCCCCTCATGCCTGCCGCTCTCTCCTTACTCCTGCCCCTCCTCTCCCCTCATGATCTTCCTTATCCAATACTCAAAGGGAAGAGGGAGAAGGCAAGTGGAGGAATAATGGTAATACACTGTGCATAGTGTGATTAACTTGTTTGGTTAAGCCAAGGCCTCTTGTGAGACTGGATTTGAGTCAGCTAGGGTTTGGAGAAAGAGTGTCCTAGAACAGAGAAGACCAAGCACTGGGCGTGGAGCCAATGCAGTGGCGTTGGTGAGGATCTGTTTGGCTTCTGGATTGTGTTCTGTTTTGTTTTGCAGGGAGCTTTGTTTTGTCAGGGTTTCTGTGCAAACATGGATTGCCATCATGTTGCTGAATGTCTGAAGCTGCAATAAAGTCCACTGACATATGCACTTTGGAGAGGGCAAACTAACAACTTGCTCAACCTGGATGAGTAGGCATCAAGTGGAATGGCTTAATTGTGGGCCACTCAGTCCTTCATTCCATGTAGTGAGATAGTAATGTTTTGAGTATTCTCCAATGCAGGACTGCAGATCATGAAAAGCCACAGCTCTCCCAGTGCTGTCCTCATGCAGAAGCTCCCCTACCATGCCACAAAGACCTTGGTCCTAGTTAAAGCATATTAATAAACATTCAGGCACGTACATGGGATTACTAAAGAAGAAATAATTTACAGAAGCTTTTCTGATTTAAGTGGTTCTGTTTCTTCTTTATTTCATTGCATGTAACACCAGGGTTTCTCGGGTCAACATGGATTTCCTGGTCCTAAAGGAGAAAAGGGAGATTCTTTATACATAACTACTAAAGGTAGGGTAAAAAACAAAACAACTGATATCACCTGTATTTATACCTTTCATGAGAGATTGATCTCACAATGGAAGGTCTTCTTTAGGCACCAAAGGAATTCGAGGAGATCCCGGGCTGCCTGGTATCAGAGGTGGAGATGGTTTTCCAGGCAGAGATGGATTAGATGGTTTACCAGGACAGCCTGGCTTTCCGGTGAGCAGCAAATACAGCTAAACCATTTCCACCACACTCAATTACAAATGCATTTAATTCTGAGGGGTTATGAGCAACAAGCTATCCTTCTCTCACAGATAATGATGCACACAACTAGACTGGCTTTGCTGGTTATTGGTATATTCAAGATCAGGTTTACTCTCAGGGTTTTTGGAACAATCTTTCACTTTTATTTCCATTTTACTTACCCAACTACATAGTAGTGTATGACCCATTTAGGCCAGCTTGTTATTTGTGATAAATAGTGGTTCATTAGTGACTCCTTCTAGCATTGTCTAGGAGAGATTCTGTGTGACTGAACTTCAGCAGTTTTGTTACAACTGAGTTAAAGAAAAGTAAAATTTACTACAACTTTACAGTCTCAAAATGTAGGTTGTGTCATCATATATATGCTTGATAGCGCCTCACCTAGCTAACTGCTCTTATGCATTATTTGAAGATAAGCCATATCATCCAATCTGGACTACAATGCTTTTTACTACCACTAAAGAGAGTATTTTATATTACTTTGAGGATTGAAATATTTTCTAGTGATGTTTGTTAGATTCAGTAGTGTAGAAATATCAGTAAAGTAACAGAAAAATTAAAAATATGCCCCCATTTGGGCACAATTTATATCAGCTTTTCTCAAGGTCTCAGAAGTAAATGCCACACCAGAACAAATCTAGCAATGCATGTGGATTCCCCAAAATCCACTTGCAGCTTTTCGGAAAGGGCAGTAAGCCACTCCACAGCAGTGATTCATTCATATTGCCCAAGTGCCATTCATGGGCCAACATTTTCAAGGGAATGCTTCCTCTAAGAGTGCTTCTCTCATGCCTTTTCTGACATGGGGTTTAAATTAAAATCAGGTTATTTAAAAAATATTTTAGTTGCAGTGTTGATTTAAAGAGCTGGGATGCAACATCCGGGGACTTACTGCTTATGTTGGTCACGGGCGTGGTTCAACTGTTTGAGTTTTTTTGTTTCTCAGCAAAGTCAGGAGTGACCACATCCACTCACTTCCCTCAGGGTGATGCTGTCAGAGGTTTCCCTGGCGATCCTGGTTATCCAGGTGAATTAGGCCCAAAGGGCTTTCCAGGAGAAGCAGGCCTGCCAGGTGAAGGATTTCCTGGTCCAAAAGGGTACCGGGGACCTCCAGGTGACCATGGACAAGATGGAAGCCCAGGACCTCCAGGTCTGCCCGGTCTGCCAGGAGAGCCTGGCCAAGTAGGTAAGAGGCATCAATCGCAGTGTTTTACATCAGAGCCATGGGAGATCGTTACTGAACTGTGTGAAGCCTCTGTACAGCACATTGTTGAAAAGGTAGCATTTGGGGGGGGGGGAGGGGTAAAAAGATATTGCTTGTATTAGTTGTCCAGAAATATTAAAGAAGTAAATACTTCAAAAGTCCCAGTAGTTTCATGTCAGGTATTGAAATAGTATGAATGCGCTAGTGCCAGCAAGTAACATCTTTCAGATTTCAAGCAGTTGGTGGCAATGAAGCAATATCCTGCTATTGGAGTACTCACAGGTGGTTTTCTTTGGTCTTCCCCATCCAACATAATCTTTTACCTGACCAGAGAAAATCATATATCCATCCTTCAGAGCTCTTGATAGTATCTCTGCAACTTCCAGCGTAAGAATGACACGGGTACATTCACAACAGCTCAGGCTCACGGTTTTATTGCTCAACTTTGAAATGCTTGGCAAAATATTCAAGCCAAGGCAGGCACCTGCCAACCCTAAACAGTGCATGAGACATGTAGCCTCCTAACTCTGACAGGGTTAGCTTTCAGGCCTGGATTGAATTAATACATGGAGAGAGAGTTCCACTATGTTATAACAAATAGTTTGTGTTGTATGTATGCATAAGTGAATACATTATCTGATGTTGTAATAGCCATTTTGGTTGGAATTGAGAGCACAGTTTTTCTCTTTTAAATAATAACTGCCCTTTACCATTCTTTGCTTATAGACTGTGGGCAGGTCACTGAAGACTTTTCTAGAGGAGATGGAACTGAGCCAATATGGTCAGGTACTGTACGTACAAACTGCTTGATTATATTTTAAAATTTAGTCTTATGCTGCTCTTATGGCTTGATACTTTCTGGTGATTGTTTTGGATGTTCTTATTTGTAAAGTGTTTGAACTTCAGGTCACAAATAACCATGCACATACTGTCCATAGCTTCAAAGTAATTTAATTAAATTGAACATATTCTAAAAGTATTGCAGTTTTAGCTGTGCAATTCAGAAATTCTTTATTTCATTGCTCCTGTTTATTGTGACAAAATTATGGTTGCCATGCACTCTATAACAACAGTCCCAGAAATTAGGTGCCCAAGAAAATTTAAACCATTTTTTTAAAAGAGCTTTGAGTGAAGGTTTTCAGTACAACTTGACATATAAATAAAAAAAACCCTTCATCTGTACCAAAATTTATCTGATTGCTTCAGGAGTCTAAATTGCCCACAGGGAAACAAAGTTTCTCTCTTATTCTGAAAAATAGTCATCCATGAGGTTTGATTACCCTTCCCATACCAGTCTAACTGGAGCAAGCCACCATAGCCCCTGGGAAGTAGGCAGAAGAGCACCTTTAGTGCTCTCCTGAAAATGCCACCCATGACCAATTTTTTTTTTTTAATGAAGAGTAAAATATTTTTTAATATTAGGGTTTTGCCTGTTAATTTAATTCACCTGCTTTAATGATGTTGTCTCAACTGCAGCCACAGAGTTGATGAGTGGCAACGTATGAGCACATACAGTGTGACTAACCAGCCCTCTTTGCTTTCAGGTGCAGGCTGTGTGAGGCCACCACAGGGATCCCGAGGCAATCCAGGGCTGCCAGGAGCCACAGGTAACATTTTGCTTTCACCTTTCTTTTGCACATGTATTATGTTTTGAGGAAGATCTTGCCAGATCAATTAAAGTTGAACCTTAGGAGGCAGTGAGTTTTAGAAATTACAAGGGAGGACAATGTTAACTTAAAGCCAGCAGAGAGACCTAAGCAGCTTGAAGCCCAGGTGGCTGCACTGTTCCTGAGCTAATTCTGCCTTTGCTAATGAGTGTCAGCCATTAACAAATGAAGACAGAAAGGACAGCCCATTTGCTATCCTCCACTGCAAGTAAGTGAAGATGTACAGAAGGAGTCTACAGGCTGATAGGTAGAAAATATACTGAGGTCTCCCAGAGCTGACTGGACACCTCACACGGAAATTCCTGTCCTTTGGGAGCAGGTTGATAAAAGGTTGCAGTGGAGAGCTGTGGCAGATCCTTCTTAATATTCCTCCTCTTGTGATATACAGAGCGCCTTCAGCGAGTGTGAGCCTGAAATCTTTAATGCAGCGCAGTGTAATGGGCCAGGTTGTCTGAAGCAATGAAGTTGCACTGTCTGTAGCCACGCATACCTTTCTTGCAGAGCTGGTCTATCCTAGCCCAGAGGGACCATCTGGCAATCCTGGGCCTCCCCAGCACTGAGGGTTCCACACCTCTTTCCAAAAGAAAGAGGAAATGGTGCAGGGGACAGGGTCTGAAGGACTGTGCGAGATGGAATTGAGAGAAACACAGACAAGGATGCTGATTAGTCATAACTATTGACCTTGAAGAGGGAACCTTCACTGGTAGTTCCTATAAGCTTATGTTCCTATAAGCTTATGTACTCCCAGCCAAAGCAATAAAGCTATTTTTCAGTAAAACCTTCTCATGACCAGCTGGTAAAGGTACTGACAGAAACTAGAACTGGGTCTTTCAGAGCTTGGTAAATGTAAAATTCTTGATGCAGCTATTCTTGTGCCTCCATGCTTTAGCCAATGTCAGAGATATGGGCTATGTCAAGTGTTTGGGTTTTTTTTCCAGCATAAGGTTTATTATGGCGTGCATGGATTGATGGATCCATTTATCACAGACTAATGGATTCTAAAAGGGAACATTTGATCTCTGTTCAAAGATGATGTGTATCTCCAACCTATGTTTCCTTAGTCCTTAATGCCTTACTTTGTTGTTAGGATCAATGCTTCTGAAGGTTGTTTTCTTTGCCATCTTTGTAATTTTTTTCTTTTTTTTTTTTGCTTTGATGATTTGTTTATTCTTTCATTCATATGGTTTTTATTTCAGTGAATACAGCCAGATTTAACTCCTAGCTGTAAGACTGTTGTAAAACAAGTGACACTGTTTTCATGTGGTCTATATTTTGTACTTTTGGTTAGCTCTTTAACAAATCTCTGTCTGTCAGCTTTTATGTTCTAGTAATTTTAAGATTTGTTTTCCCTCCCTTCCCTCCAAAAACTGGAAAAGGCCCCTCGCTGAGCCCAGGGCAGAACTCTGTTTATAGCCACCTTTCAGCCTGAGTCCTGAAGCTGGCAACCCATGGGAACAGGACACATTTTACAACTTTTCACAGCTTCTTGTTGCCATGTATGTGTCAATCTAGTTTCCTGGGTCATTATTCCTACCCACATTCTCTGGATTGACTCAAAAGCACCAACACCTCCTTTACACTATTTTCATTGTCTCCTTAGAGTGATGTGGTTTTATCCACAAGATTTCCTGACTTCTTTTCAGCCAGGATGGAGCTCTGCTATAGGCAGTCAAGTCTCTCAGTGTACAAGGTGCTGATGGCACGCAGTATATCAAACAAGGAGTCATCTTTATAGGCTCACACCCTCATGTCCTTGTGTTCCTTTAAAATTCCTGGCAACATAGAGAGCCCACCCTAATTTACATCCTTGTTATTCAGTAGTCTCAAGACCTACGTGACCGCTGTGG